ACTGACCTGGGGTAATCTGGAAGCTTGTCTAAAAGGACTGGTGAGCATTCTGGATAATTGGCAGGAACCAGTAATCTCAGATGCATGATGGGGGACTGTAATGAAAATAAGCCAAAGTCAATGGTTTATACAAATCAAAGCAACTACTGGGAGTTCCTTTATCTATTTGAAATTTACCGTCTGTGTACATGCAAGCTGTGCTTTCAAGCCTGGACTGAGGGCAATAGCGGTGTAAGAAAATTTAACCATAATTCCTTCTTCACCCTCATTGTTTTCACTCATCTCAAGCACTGTATCAATCAGCTTTTGATTTATCTTCCATATCTCTTCCAGTAATCTATGGTTGACCTGCAGAGCAGTGTGTCAAGTCCATAAAATCATCTTAAGCAATTGATATCTCTGGACCAATGAGCCATGAATTCTAAATTGTATTCATTGGTGACTACACAAAATATCACGAAAAGGTTTAAAAATGATCAAAATAAAACATACGACGATGGCTCCTATACCACTCTTAATAACTAGGATTTTAGATACAAGGCCCTCCAAAAAATTGACAGCAGTCCCTAAACTTAAGATTTTCAGATTAGTCACAAAAGTATATCCTATCAGCTAATGCAGCTGACACATAGAAGAAAATATATGTGGTATGAACCTCATGCTATCACAGTAGTAATGCAAAAAATAAGGAATTGCAATTGATTTATGGAGTATATAACAGTAAACTTGAGACATAAGGCCACAGCTGGTAATGAAAGAATATGCACTTATCTCAATATCTCAGGAAATCATGAAGGGTAAAAGGAATAGTATAAGTTATAATAGAGACTTTAATTCCCTAGAACATCTGATAAAGCCATTGAATGAATTGGGAGGAAATCATACCTCAGATCTTAACCTCTTAATACGAGATGTCGCAGAAGACTCTAGCTCTGATGATTCAAAATCATGCAATTGCTTAAAGCTGTCATCATCGCTTCCAGGTGAAGAAATATCATTTAAGGGCATTGCAACTGTGTGGCGCTTCATTTTCTTTCTAGTAGCACCACCGTCTTTTGACATGACGTTTCTCGCTTGCAGATGGCATTTTGTCATTGCAACCAAATCTTCACCAGCAGCAGCTCTCGAACCATTGGTAGGTGCTGAACCTGCCATTCGGTCAATCATACTTACAATGGATCCAATATCATTAACAGATGAGCTAAGGGTATCCGGTGTCACTGACTGTGCCTGAAAAATGTTTACATAGAATTAGATAATTACATGCAATGACTACGAGCGGATTGAAACAAGAAGAACTGACAGCTACTCAGAGTAAGAGGTACTCCGGACTTTTCTTCTTATCAGCAACAACAGCTAAATTAATTATACTGTGTGCTAGGGTGTATAGGGTGTATACCAGGTATCAGATGTCACGTATAATGAAAGACAAATTAGTACAAAGCCAATAAATTCCTGACAATTACTGATGGGGAACGACGCGAGAGCTTCGATCTAGAGGCGAGAAATCGTCGACCGCATGACGGAACGCTATTGTAATCCATGATGAACACTAAACGTTACTGTTAAGTGATGAACAGTGCAAAGGTTACTGTTTACCTCTAGACAGTACTCCGGTTTTGAGGTATTAGGGTTTCTTCAGGTATTTTGGTTTGGTTTGGATCTGGGGATTCTTTTGAAGGGATTGATTGAGAAATAAAATTGAAAAGAGAGGATTTTGATAATAACTAGGCTTCACACATAGAGGCCTCACATCTAAGGGCTCCACACCCCAAAGCGGACTTCACACCCCAAAGCGCAAATCACATGTCAAGAACATCTCAGAGAGAATTCTCATAACTCAATAGTTTTATTAATTAATGTCTATTCCTCATAGACCTCAAAGAGGATTACATCTCTTATTTATAGAAAAAAAGAGCATCTAAACAGTTCGGCAAGCAAATCAAAATCCTAATCACATCAAAACCTAACAAAATTAAAAGATGCAATCACATAAAATCCTAACCAAAATCCTAATCAAATCAAAACCTAACAAAATTAAAAGATGCAATCAAATAAAATCCTAACCAAAGTAGAAAGAGATCTCAAAATCAACTCCTAAAGAAATCCTAACTAAAAAGAAGATTACATAGAATAAAATAAAATCCTACCAATAAAGGAAAGATTATAATAAATCATAATCACATCGCATGGATCGTCCTGCATCAATACACTAATAAGTGAAAAGAGAAGCCTAATTGGCTAAAGCCGAAGCTTCTAACATAGAGCCATAGAGGTAACCAAACTGGCTATAAACTAATGTCGTTTCAATATCACCATTATGTATCATGTTAATGCAGTGGCATTACAAAGAAAATGAGTGAGCACATTTGGAAACAAACTGCTCATTGAATTTTAAACAATCAGAAACTCAACATGACTACCACAGGCTCCTGATAAAATACCTAGGAATTAAAAAATGAAGTAAACTAAAAAAATTCACTAACCACTTTAATTAGGCGATCCATAGGCTGTTCTGTTGTACTTGTTTCAGATGTTGCTGGTACATTAGCCTGGTTCCTGTCTTGACTGGTGCAATCTGCTAGCAAAGGTGATGCTGAAATTCCAGGTGTGCTAGTAACAACTGGATGTGGTTGAAGTGGTGCAACAGGTCTTTGCTGATGTCCAGCTGATGAAATATTGTTTTCTTGGTTTATAGACTTAACAATAATCATATACATCTTTTATTAAGTCTACAAAATCATTTTGTAATGTTTCAAAACATGGTTAAGCTAAAATGTCAAAACTCATGTGTTCACATTTTCATGTTTTGGACTATTTTGTAAAATAATGATATTTCTCATTTGGGAGGTCCTTTTTGAAAATCAGTTTTTGTAGCATGTTTATTATCATGTCTACAATGATATTTCTCATTTGGGAGGTCCTTTTTGAAAATCAGTTTTTGTAGCATGTTTATTATCATGTCTACAATCATCTCCCAAAGCTTCATAATTTTTAGAATTTATTTGATATTTTTAAACCCAGTTTAAAGTTGAGTTTTTCTATGCACTTCAGGTCTGTGCATGTTTAGTCGACTCATTAGTCGACTCACGAAGTGCAGCGGAGTTGTGATTTTTCTTCTGCTGAATTGACTCATATAAGCCGACCCATTAGTCGACTCATAAGTCGACTCATGAGTCGACTCATAAGTCGACTTATCAGAGAGCCGTTGCACAGTAACGGCTAGTTTTCAGATTTGTTTATTTTAATGTTTTTATTGGATTTTGTTGGATTCTTGGGCTGGTTTCTTCAAGCCTATATATACCCCTTTACATTAACTATTTTAATTAACTAATAAAATGTTTTAAACAAGTTTAAAAGAGTTTTAAAACAAGGGTTTAAGTTTGGTTTAAGTTTGGTTTAAGTTTGTTTAAGAAGCTTTTAAGCAATTAAGAGTTTGAGTTTGTGAATTCAATTCTACAAGAGCTTGAGGAGATCATCTATTGGAGTTTGAGCAATCAACTATTCTCCCTCCATCTCTTGTCATCTATTGAGAAGTTTTCTAAACTCTTTTCTAGCTTTATATTTATTTATTTGATTATCATCTTATTAAAGTAGTTTTATATTGAGTTTAGATTTGATTAATCTCATTGTTACACACACCCACTTGAGCTTATTGTACTTGCATTCATAATATATTTGGGGTTGTGAGAGATAGTAACATTGAGTTGAGCCTAATTGAGTTCTCACCTTGTTTAGAGAACAATCATTTGTTGTGCTTAATTTATGAAGTTTACTTTGTAATACACTTGTACACCGAGAGGAGTGTGTGGTGAGGACGGAGTCGATACCGAGAGGAGTGACATCAGTGGTCTAGTGAGAGGTGATAATTCCGAGCACTTGAGGGAGTCGATACGTGAGGACCAACACTTAAGATTGTTGCTTGTGTATGTACATTGTGAGGATTTGTGAGAGTTGTCGGTTGACTTGATAACCGAGTGTGTAAAATTTTCGGTTAGCTAGAAAACCGAGTGTGTAGAAAAATTCCGGCTTCCAAACCGGGTTGTGTAGTGGATTCTCGAGAGTGGGGAGCGGCGACGTAGGACGGAAGGTCCGAACCTCGTGAACATATATCGTGTTTGGTTTTCATTGGCGCACTTATAACTGTTCATCTTATAGCCTATTGCATCTTGTTTGTTTCACCCTTGTGATAGTTTATACATCCTTACGTACATCATATAGTATATCTCATTGTTAGGATATATCACCTTTGTTCATATTGCATATTCTTGCTCATAAGTACATCATATAGTATATCTCATTGTTAGGATATATCACCTTTGTTCATATTGCATATTCTTGCTCATAAGTAATTGTATATCATCTTGCAAGAAATAGGATATATCACCTTTGTTCATATTGCATATTCTTGCTCATAAGTAATTGTATATCATCTTGCAAGAAATATTTGTTAATAAGTTTTAAATTGGTATAAAATCGGATTAGATTAGCATAAATCCTATTCACCTCCCCCTAGGGTTCTTTCATAGCGACCTTAGGGTCTAACACCAACTCTATGAGTCCGGAAGTTAACTATGAGAAGAAACCCCAATTCACCAATTTCTTTGTACTAGAATATTGTGAACCAGAAGACCATCATTTCCATGTGAAACTGGAGCTCCTCAGTTAAAAAAGTAGACCATATGACTGGGGCTAAACCAAGGTTTTAATTATCGGTTATTGGGGATTTATCGGACGGTAAAATCCATATTGGATAGCAGATATCGGGGATGTATCAGGGACAAGTAGTATTTATCGGAGTGACATCACCGGATGGTGATATACGGTGATATACATAATATAATATTCTAAAATGTAATCTAACCATACTTAATGAAATATAAACATACCAAAATGTAAATAATTATGTTTAGCATCACTAACCAATGATAGAAAGTTGGGTCGGGTCGGGTTTAAAGTGCATTGAATAGGTGCTCATTGCCCGAAATCAAAACTCAAACCAAAAACTGATAATTCCAATTTTTGGGCTGATAACTCACCTTATTGTCGCATTATCGGCAATAAACATCCAAAAAATGATAACCGATTTAGAATCAAACTTATCATAGCGGAAGACCCCAAAACCGATAAATCGGCGATAATATCAGTTTATCAGCCGATATTTAAAACATTAGGCTGGACAACTCCAAGGTCTTCAATTCCATGAAACCGCTAAGGCTTCATACAGAAAAATATGTGATCCATAGTTCTAACTAGAACTAGTGCAACTTAATTATTTTACTGAGGTGTATTTTTGTTAAATGATGCACAATTTCTTTTCCCAATGTTTACTTCTGCTTGAAAGACTAGAAATTGTCTCCATCGATCATCTAGAAGTTAGGTGTATGACATATCTAGTTGGTTGTCTTCAGGTTCAGGCTCTTATCTCTTTCCCACAGATTGCAGATACTATAGAGTATGTCTAATAACTTATCATCTTTACATTTACCAAAAGTTCTATTAAATATATATATTTTGTTCCTTCTTAGAAACCTGCTAAGCCACACCTGCTAAGCCATTAGATTGACACTATCAATGATTATATATTAGAAGTAGAATAAAGTCAGTACTCTGTATATCAGGGTCAACATAATCAATCATATTTTATTACATAAATAGGTATTCAATATGTGGGCATTAAACACTTACATGGAACAGGGGAGAACAATTTTCATTCTTTTTAACTTGTAGTCGCCAACTAGTAATTTTTATACAGTTGTGTCTGTGCCATACACATGCATGATGCCACCATTTTTTTGGTGAATAATAGACCATAGGTTAGTGCGAGCGGTATTTAATGTGATAACTCTCGCACTCTGCAAAAGGACTCTACCACAGTGATGTAACAACACTTCTGATGTGTCACCGGCTAGTAATAATTAATGTTTGGTAACCAAAGTGTTTCTTTTTGTAGTGTTTTTTTAAAAAACACCATACCATTGTGTTTATTTTTCAAACTTGTTAACACCATTTATAGTTATTATTTATATAGCGGCGGCGGAAAGGGCGACGCCACGCGGCGATTCGGGCCACCGGCGGCGTGACCGGCGGTGGCGGCGGAAAGGGGCGCGGTCGTGCGCGGGCGGCGCGAGCCGGCGAGCAAGCCACCGACGGGTCAGGCGACGGCCACTATGCGCGGATTGGCCGGCGGTCGCGGCGACCGATGATGCCGCGACCGACACCTGGCGACGGGCAGACGACCACGCAGAAGTCGGGTTGCGGATGTCGGTCGGCGGGCCGCCGGTGGCGGCGGCGTCGGGCGGCAGGCGACTGCGGCGGTGGCGGCGCGACGGCGACCGCACCCGGGGCAGCCGACGTCGTGTGGCGGGACGGCAGTGGCGGGGAGCGGGCTGGCGCGCGGGGTGCGCGGGCGGCGGCACGGCGCACGAAGCACGAGAACGGGCGACGAGCACGGTGGCAGCGACGGCAGACGGACGCCCGCAGCGCGGGTGGCGACAGGCGGGGCCCCCCCCCTACAGCAGCGGTGCGGTCTCCCGGGTGCGATGCCGTGCGCGGCTGTGGGCCAACGACCCACGCGCCGGCACGCGGACGAAGCCGACGGTGAATCGGCTTAGATGAAAAAAGGGAGCGACGACGGATGCGACACGCGGGAGGCCCGGTGGCAGGCCTCAGGACAGGTGGTGGCGTGGCGGCGGACAGCGTGAAAGAAACCCGGGCGATGCGAACGGGGTGGGCTTAGATGAAAAAATAGAATCTCAAAATACTTTTTTGGTGTTTTAAGAAAAGCGTTTATTTTTTGGATTTTGTAAAGGGTCAAGTCAAAAAATCGCTCCGATTGCCAAACACGTTTCATTGTTTTTTTTGAAAAAAAAACGAAAACGGCAAAAACGCCATGTATCCAAATTAGCTCATCACCAAAAACTATGCTTCACGCACATAAAAGTATGATATTTCTATAGCCAAATTTCATTAAGATCGCAGTGAGTGTTCATAAAATGCAAAGGGTGCTATTGAAACACAGACAATTTTGCATATCTGGTTAGGGTCCGTTCGTTTCGCAAAAAAAACTTGGAAATTAAAGAATAGAAAACTTATTTCCTATAATAATTGTTTTGATGTTGTTTGGTTGGGTTAAAAAAGAAGGAAATTATAGAATAGGAGATGAGATGAGATGAGTTGTCACCTTATTATTGGATGATGTGAGTGATTTTTTTAAAAAACTTGTTTTGAGGTTGTTTGGTTGGTTAAAAAAATAAGGAAATGAATTGGAGGTATATTATTGGATGATGTTTTGAGGTTGTTTGTGTTTGGTTTATTTTTAAAAATAAGAAAATAGATGAGATGAGATGAGTTGGAGGTATATTATTGGATGATGTGACACATACTTAAGGAAATCAATTTCTTATTTTTTTTTTTTTTGAGGAAATGGATGGAAATGAAGGTTTAATGAGATGAGATGAGTTGTCACAATATTATTGGATGATGTGTGTGATTTTTAAAAATGGGATAAGATGAGATGTGATGAGTTGGATGATGTGACACATATCTTGTGTTTGGTTTATTTTTAAAGGTAAGAAAGGAGATGAAATAAGATGAGTTGGAGGATAAAAATAATATTTTATTGGATGTTGTGGGTGAGTTTTAGGGATGAAAATGGATAAAAATATTATTTTATTGATTTCCTTGTACCGATTTCCTTTTTTTGGTTTTTAGGAAACCAACCAAACAGCCCCTTAGGGGAATTTATATTCCTTCTGAATTTAAAAGCGTGTAGCAAAAAGTCCTATCCATAATACCCTCTTCAACTAAAAAGTGGCAACAAAATCATATACAGCTTGCAAAAGGATGTACCTGATCAGTGGCAGCAGTATATATTATCTCCTCAAATCGGATAGCAATGTTCCCTAGTTCATTTGAGCCCTCAGGATTAGCTATAGGCAAAGACTTCTTTAAAGTATTCAATCTGCACAAAAATAGACCAATACAATACTAAGACATCATCAAATCACTTCTACAGAATTGCAGTGATGCCGCATGAATATAACAAAGATTAATATATTAAATTCTATCAATGTGTAACAGTGCTCAGCCAACTGAAAGCAACAAACTTGAACTGTAGTTTATTAATTCACTGTTAACCTCAATTCTCAAAAAAAATATTGATCTAATTATCTAAATAAACTCTAGCCCTAAAATCATTGGTATTTTCATCATACACAACTTCATCCAATACTGAAAAACAACCAGCTCACCAAGTCAATCCATCAAATAAACCACCACAAAAACCTAAATCCACAAAACACTTTCAATCAAAACAATACAAAATCAAGAAAAGCTTGAAATATTCAAGGAAACTATAATACTTACTTCAAACCTTCCTCATTGTTATCTGCTTTCTTTATCCCCAGATCGATCTATCAAATAAACCCCCAAAAAACATCAAGAACCCTAAATCCGATACCCACCTTCAATTATTCTTAAAACCCTAGCTCAAAAAGAAATCAGAGGGAGGAACTCAACGCTTACATCTTGTGGACAATCCGTTGTCTGGTTCCGCTTGAGATCTGAGACCTTCAGTCGCCGGATGACGCAATGGACGATGATGATTCTTGCATGAGAAGGAATAGATCGATCTAAAAGAAGAGACTTCTGTTTATTTTTGTGCCTTATCGAGTCGGTTTGATAACTTGAAGCATTAAATTGTTAAGCTGTTAATTAAGATTTAGTTTACTCTTTATGATCATTTTTAGTGTTTAAAAATAATAAAAAATTTTGAATATTTTTTTTTATAGAAAGATTTTCTTTTGGGGGTGGGGGTTAGTCACCTAGGTCCCGTTTGGTACACGGAAATGGGGTGGAATGGAATGTCATTCTCACTTCCCATTCACTCATACCAAACAAAACTTGTTTTTAGATGTTAGAATGATCATTCCCACTTTTTTTGGGAATGTGCATTCCAAGTGAGAAGATAGGGAATGATCATTTTCATTCAATGGGAGAATCAAATTAGTTAGGTTTTTTTCAATTATACCTCTATTAATAATAAGAATCAATTTAAAAATCATGGCTTTTGACTACGTATTCTCATTTTCTCTCAGCTACTAATTATATTCAAACAATAGGAATTTTTTTACGGGGTAGGGATTAAAACTAGTGGTACATATTTCAGTGGCATATTAAAACTAGTGGTACATATTCATTAGCATATTATATCACAATTGCTCAACATAGGAGCAACACAATTTAATATAAAAACAGATACAACTGAAACTATATATTATTTGCCGATTGAAATTCTTTCATGTCGATATTTTTTTTTTGGTCAATCAAATTTTTTTGGTTATTCACCAATGTTTAAAGTCTGTTATTTTCACCAGCATATTATATTTTTTTTTAACTTTTGCTATTGTTTTCCCACCATAGAAAACTATATATACCCATTGCGTACATGTTTGATTGTGGTTCATGCACAACAATAAATCTAACTTTTGATTGAAAAATATTTGACCTAATATTTATGAAAAGAGGAAACTCTCGCTGAGAAATTGGCCAAAATATTAAAATGATCAAAATCATATCATGTCTAGACTATATATAGAGGTATAAGGGCATTATTATAACACATACCTAGATTAATATAACATATGCAGAAATAGTGAGAATTGTTTAAAAAATATAAACGAAACATACACATGATCGATAGCATGCGCATTAGCATAACACACACCTAGATTAATATAACATATGCATAAATATTTTTTGTTTAGTTACTATCATTAATGTTTATTTTTATCTTATTGAAAAACTATGTTGTTATAAGGGCATTATTAGAAAATGAGATTCCATTCTCACTTGTGAACTAGTGATACCAAACATGGGAATGAGAATTAGATTTTTTTCTAGCTTTATTATACAAACGCACCCAAACAAGAGAATGAGAATGACCATTCTTGCATACATTCCATTCCGTTCATTCTTCCATTCCATTCTCACTTGACTTCATTCCCACGTACCAAATGAGGCGCTAGAACTTAAAATTGGAACTGGGATAATATGTGGGATAAATTTTTAAGGTGTTAGAGGTGTTAGTCAATTGGGACATTTTTATGCAAAATGAGATAATTGTTAAAGTGGAATTAATTTTCGTTAGTGGGATATTTTAGTGGGATAAATATGAATAATTTTGTGAAGCGGGATATTTTGATAAAATAATGTGGGATTTTTTTAATAATCATGAAATATATATTTATGCATTTTGAATATATAAATTCTATTTATGTATTTTAAACTTACTATTATTGATTGATAATTGCTTACAATAATGTTCTTTATTATTAAATAACTTTTAGTTAGACTATAAGATATTGACAATTATTATTATAGTGATGGTCTAATGATGGTGATAACTATAATAGGAAAGAAGTAAAGGGAAAAAATAAATATACAAAATAAAAAATAAAAAAATTAATATGACCTAGTTCCAAGCTAAAACTTGGAATAATTTGAGAGACTAGAACTCTTATTTTTTTTATAGAAAAATAAAAAAATAGAATAATTTTGTATCATTATCTCAATTCTAGTTTTGTTAGAGGTCTACTTGTCTAACACTGTAAAATTTTATTCTGGTTTTAGTTCTATGTGACTAACACCTTAAAAATTTATCCCACAAATTATCCTAGTTTCAATTTTAAGTTCTAGGTGGCTAACCCCCCTAGTCACATAGAACTAAAACTAGAACAAAATTTTACAGTGTCAGTCAAGTAGAACTCTAACAAAACTAGACTTGGGATAATGGTACAAAATTATCCTATTTTTTTATTTTTTTATAAAAAATTGAGAGTTCTAGTCTCTTAAATTATTCCAAGTTTTAGCTTGGAACTAGGTGGTAAAAAAACTAGAACTCATATTTATTTTGTTATTTATATTTTTTATTTACTTCTTTCCTATTATGGTTATCACCATCATTAGACCATTATTATAATAATAATTGTCAATATCTTATAGTCTAACCATAAGTTATTTAATAATAAAGAACATTCTTGTAAGCAATTATCAATCAATAATAGTAAGTTTAAAATACATAAATAGTATTTATATATATTCAAAATGCATAAATATATATCTCATGATTATAAAAATTTATCCCACGTTATTTTATCAAAATATCCCATTTTACAAAATTGTTTCTATTTATCTCACTAAAACATCCTACTAGCAAAAAATTATTCCACTTTAACAACTATCCCATTTTGCATGAAAATGTCCCAATTGACTAACACTCCATTAATCCTCTTCAATAGGAGGAGTAGTAATTTATAAATAGAGAGGTCATCTTTTAATTCTGAGTAGTAGTAAACCCCTTATTTGGAAGGCTTAACTCATTTTAACCCATTTAGAAGGTTTATTTTAACCCTTATGTATTTTTCGTGGTTAGAAAATATGGAGGAGGGTTAATCCATTTTAATTCTTGCATAGATTTTTTATGTTTGATAGGTTAAGAAAGGGTTAAGCCTCCTTAACCCTTTGCTGAACAATACTATAGTGAATATAGTGATAATAATTTAGTTGATTTTTTCTCAATATGTAAATACAAGTTCAAATACGAGTTATGATATTGCCTGACAGAAAGATTGATATTGACTTGTTTTCAAAATGTAAATGTAAATATATGGATAAATTCAACTAGGGATTATTTGCATGTCTTATATCCCTAGTTCAACCTGAAAGTTACATCACGAATTAGAACAGTTCAACTGAAAAATATAATATAATAATAGCCCCAAGCTTTTGAATATTGATCTGTAATCATTTTTTAAATATCTCTATGATTTAATTAAATTACTCAATTTAAAATTTTCCTTTCTTACATAATTTGTAGGAGATTATTCATGTCTAAATATGTTTACTTTTCACAAAACGCAACGATATATTTACATGTCAATATCTATTTACTTTAATTATTGAATGCCACATCACTGCTATTATCCCAATCCTATCCTGGTTCTAATCCTAATCAGCATCCAACCAGAACTCTGTTTTAGGGGCCGTTTGGTTAGCATTTTTTGCCCTTGTAAAGCTGTCAAAACTGACAAAAGCTGTCAATTTTGGCAGCTTTACTTGCAAAAATGTTTATTTTTGGGCGTTTTTGCAAGTAAAGCTGTCAAAACTGACAGCTTTTGTTAGTTTTGACAGCTTTACAAGAGCAAAAAATACCAACCAAACTGCCCCTTAGGCAAAAGAAAAAAGAAAGTGATAGCGCTAACTCAGGGGTCACTCGTGTAACAATATTGTGTATAAATTTCATAAAACCGCGTTACCTTTGGGTGTTTCTCAAATAAGCCCCTGATAACTTTGAAACTTTCAAACAAACCTTAGGTTTTGAAGTTCTCTGAAAACCCCTTTCAACATTACTGTATTAAACATATGATAATCACAGTTAACAATGTTATGTTTTTTTTTAATGTTCAAAGTTGAAGACAGTTTACAGAGACCTCA